GGAGGGCCAAGGTTGAGGAAGCCTATTTCAGCACATATAAGAAAACCATATGTTTCTGCTCCCCTGCCCTAGTGGATCAGGCCCACCAAGGCACATTTGGTGGTTCCCACATCATGGTTCCTAACACTGGCTGACTAGATGCCTCTGGGAAGCCTACAAAAGGGGGCACAAGGGCAACGGCCCTCTCTCCACTGCTACTACCAATAGACCAAATGCAACTATTACGGAAACCCAAATAAAGATGGGGCAAGGAGGGCGGGGTGAGTGTCAATGTGTTACCATGAACCAGACTCAGTCTTCATTAAAGGTAAATTCGGTCCAGTCGTGACCGACTCTGGGGTTGCGGCGCTCATCTCACTTTATTGGCCGAGGAAACCGTCGTACAGCTTCCAGGTCATGTGGCCAGCATAACTAAGCGAACCAGAGCAGCGCACGGAAATGCCATTTACCTTCCCACCAGAGCGGTACCTATTTATCTACTTGCACTTTGACATGCGTTTGAACTGCTAGGTTGGCAGGAGCAGGGACCGAGCAACGGGAGCTCACCCCGTCACAGGGATTCGAACCGCTGACCTTCTGATCGGCAAGTCCTAAACTCTGTGGTTTAACCCACAGTGCCACCCGCTGCATTAGGGGGAGCTTTTTACTGTGTCGCTTTCTATCTAGGGAAGGTTGCAATGTTGTTATCTTCCTTCATTGATGGAAGGAGATGAGAGAGTCCGATAGGGAGGTTATGTTTGTGTGATGATTCTGCAATGTTATTCAAATAAAGAAGAGAAGAGTGGAATTGCTCCCAGGCTACCTTCAGCAGGGTGGTCCAGTCAGGGAGCGTCTTCATTTCAGCTTGACAACAAAGCCAGTTCTGCGGGGAGAATCTGGTCACAAAAAAGTGGAATTGAGCAGTTCTGGCAAGGAGACACAAACAGTCAGATCTCAGGTGGTCCAATATATGCCCACGTTATTATTGGTAAAATCTCGTCAAAGAACACAGTGGCTTCAGTCCGCTCATTTGTTCTATGCACTTAGAATATGGTTTGGTCTCATATCCAACTGTGCCACTATTTCAGTGCAATAAATCACTCACAAGTGAGATTAGCCAGTTACACCTTCAGCACTGCAGGAGAATATGCTGATTTGCCTGATTAAAAATATGATGTGTTTGTACTGCAGATCTGATTGGCTATTTTTACTTTGGAGCCATACTATAGCTAGCACAAAGGTTAATTATTTCAGCAGTGTTGCTAATGCTTATCTGCAGAGCAAAATCATATTGTGTGGAGTTTAGCTGAGGTTATACTGGCCACAGTTCAATACAGCGGTAGATGCATTTAAGCCAGTTGAAGTAAATGCACGTATCCCTGCACCTAACCTTGAGTAGGACTGTGGCCATTGGCTATAGCAGAGCTTTCCAAACCGTGTGTTGTGACATGTTTAGTGTGTTGGCTGCAGTGTGTAGGTGTGTCACCGGAATGCTCCCTGCGATCTGCCCGGGGTTGGAAAAGGATTAGTTTAACCTCCAGTTTGCAAGGAAAACTGAATTACTGTGTTGCGAAATGATGCGTGTCTAAAAAGTGTGTCACCAACTTGAAAAGTTTGGAAAGTTCTGGGTTATAGAAGCATGCAGGTAGGTTAGGAATAAATTCCATTACATCTGTATTAAGGGATATTTAATCATTCACGAGTTGATTATTTCATTTGTTCATGTTGGTGCTTTGATAAGATGAAAACTCTAGGTGACCATAATAGCTGAAATGTTATCTCACCATGTGCAAGCGCACTTGGAATACTGTGCACAGTTCTAATTGCCACATCTCAAACAAGGTATTGAAGAGCTGGAAAGGTTCTGAATAAGCAAACCACAGTGATCATGAGGCTGGAACATGAAGAAAGATCCTAACATTTTCTGGCTTTTTTTGGGGGGGGAAGGTGAGTAACGGGGGATGGGCATGATAGATGTGTCTGAAACCAAGCATGTTGTGGATAAAGTGAATAGGGAAGCCTTTTTCTCCCTTTCTCAAAATACTAGAAGAAGTTGGGGTCATCCAGTGAAGCTGAATACTGGAAGATTCAGAACAGACAAAAGGAAGTACCACTTCACACAGCACATAGTCACAACTATGGAATTTGCAACCACAAGCCAACGTGGATAGCTTTAAAAAGGGGATTAGACAAATGTTGTTTATCCTTGATGATTATGATCTCCTGCACTGGAGGCACCATGCATCTGAATACCGCTTGCCATGGAGTCCAGGTTGCGGAGAGGGCCAATGCATTCATGTTCTGCTTGCAGGTGTCACATGGACATGTGGTGCCCACAATGGGAACAGAATGCTGGACTGGACAGGCTATTCTTATACTCTTCCCTAATGCCTGTTGTTGCTCTATTGTTATTCATTTAAAAACAACAACAACCACCAAGTATATTGCAGCACTTTGTCAAAAGTTGTCTGTTTTTGAGATTCCTAATTATGGGTAGTATCCAGTGACGTCTCCCCACTTGTGAAATGGAATTCCACTTGTGCAATACAACATCTGGTTTCTCTTCCCCACACACCTTTACCCCACCCCCACAGGCCCAAAAGCCAATCTAGCAGGTTTCTCAATCCTCTGGAGCAGATTGTGGGGGCTGCAGGAGGAAGGGGAAGCCTGCTCATGCTATCCTGGATCTCACTCACTCATGTATCAGATTTTCTTTAGGTTGTGCAATATACAGTTCTTTTAAAAAACAAAAACTTCTCATTTATAGTTGGGGGGAAAAGAATCTGTTGATCCCCCCCCCCAATCCTACACTTATAAAATATATAGAAATATTTTCATAACTAAATAAATACACTTATATACATGTATTTACATACATCTCTATACATCTACACACAAACACACACAAAAATATTTACAGTGGTACCTTGGGTTACAGACGCTTCTGGTTACAGCTGCTTCAGGTTACAGACTCTGCTAACCCAGAAATAGTACTTTGGGTTAAGAACTTTGCTTCAGGATGAGAGAGAACAGAAATCGTGCGGCGGCGGCAGCGGGAGGCCTCATTAGCTAACGTGGTACCTCAGGTTAAGAAAAGTTTCAGGTTAGGAACGGACCTCCAGAACAAATTAAGTTCTTAACTCGAGGTACCACTGTACTTGAATGTTAGGGTCAGTTTGCAAGAGCAAACATCTTCCTGACCAGGGCTTCCCTACTTTTGTGGGCCCATTGGAAACATCTGACATGAGCACATGCAAGCATGCACAACCGAAGGCTTGTTTGGGCACATGGGAAGGCATCTGTGTTGCTCACAGGAGCTGTGGTGGCCATCCATGCTTGTATTGAACCTCTTCAGGGAGCTATCATGGGAGAAGCAAACTAGCTGAGCAAATAACCATGCAGCTGATTCTGCACCTCCCGAACGGACATCTCCCACACCAGAGAACAATTGAGAATGCTCACCTTGGAGCATGTGTTCTCAGAGACTGTGTTTGCAGTCCTATTTTACTATGCACTCATTGCGTTTCCAATGCTAGGTTTTTACTCCATGTTCATGTGACGTTATCCAAAATGCATATGTGTCCTTTATAGCCCCATCCTTTAAACTGCAGAAAGAAATCTCATCCCACATTTAGAAGGACTGAGAGGAGCTTCCAAACGCACAGCCGAGTGTAATTGTGGGCTATTTGTACTGCGTTCATGGGTGTCCACAGGAATTTTTGGCGGGTGGATGAGGGTGGGGAGCAAAGTAAAACACTGCAAAGGGGGCTAGCTTCTTAAACAAAACAAAACAAAACAAAAATGAGACTTATAGTGCCTGTACATTGTGCCTCACCTTGAATACTACAGATGCTGAAAAGAAATGAAAGCTGTGAACCTGGGGCTACGGTTCTGCGGCGGGAGCAATCTCCCCCCCCCCCGCCCATGCCCATTCTAGTAGGATTTAGACAAGCATCCTGATCTTGGAAGTAATTAGGCATATGGAAGGCTATATTACCTCACATCCTCAAGGACCGCCTCTTTCCATATGAACCTACCCGGATCCGGAGATCATCTTCTGAGGCCTTTCTTCATGTGCCTCCTCCTCGTGAGGTGCGAAGGGTGGCAACATGTGAATGGGCCTTCTCTGCAGTGGCTCCCCATCTGTGGAATGCTCGCCCCAGGGAAGTTCGCCTGGCGCCGTCATTATACAGTGGTACCTCGGGTTAAGTACTTAATTCGTTCCTGAGGTCTGTTCTTAACCTGAAACTGTTCTTAACCTGAAGCACCACTTTAGCTAATAGGGCCTCCTCCGGCTGCTGCGCTGCTGGAGCACAATTTCTGTTCTCATCCTGAAGCAAAGTTCTAAACCTGAAGCACTATTTCTGGGTTAGCAGAGTCTGTAACCTGAAGCAAAAGTAACCTGAAGCGTATGTAACCTGAGGTACCACTGTACACCTTTAGGCGCCAGGCAAAAATGTTCCTTTTTAACCAGGCCTTTTGGTTGATTTGATTGATATCCTATGCCCTTTTAAAACGTGGGTTTTTTTTGGAGGGGGCTATTGGGTTGTTATTTTTATTTTTATTATGTATCTTGTAGTTTTATATCTTGATTTTATTCTGTGAACCGCCCTGAGACCCCTGCATATAGGGCAGTACATAAATTCAATAAACAACAACAATAACCACACACACACGATGTGGGGGTTTAGGATTGCACCCTTAGCCTAGATGCGACTTGATGTCTCCGGGACCATTCAATGTGGGTCTAGCAACATCTCGATTCCTTCCTTTTTCTTCGCGACTAACTTGACCCACTGAACTCAAGGGGACCCAAGTTCAGCTGATGTCCGGATCCAACCCTTTATGTCTAATTAAAGTTTCCCGAGTGGCCGTGAAGATAAAGGCACCCCCGCCCCGCGCGCCTTATTGATAAGCGCAATAAACAGAGCTCCGGGGGAAAGGCAGTGGCCCACCTTGGCCAGCAGAGGGCCCAGGCGCGGTCTTAAAGCCAGGGAGGGGCGAGCGCAAAGGCGCCACTTTGCATCCAGCAGTCAGGCAGGCAGCTCGTGCGCAGGATCCCAAGGCTGGGCTGCAAAGAAAGGTGAAGCGAAGGCGAGGAGGAGTGGCCGCAGCAGGAATATTCGGAATGCGCCTAAGTCTGCTACGCTTTCCGTCTTGAAAGGCTCCTGTGCCTTCAAGAAGCTGACTTCGAGGAAGAGGCATTGCACGGCTGCATCTTTCACGTAGGAGGAGGTCCCGGGTTCATTCCTTGACCTATCCAGGTAGGGCTGGAGACTGAAATGTTGGCAAGCTTTGGGCATCTGCCTTGCATGCAGAACATCCCAGGTTCAGCTGAGAGAGAGACTCTGGCATTGGTGTAGCCAAGGGGGTGGGGGGTAGTGAGGGGCAGTTGCCCCCCCCCCTATAAATCAATAAAAATACATAGCTAACTGAGGTTCTGCCCCTTCCCCCAAAGGTCTGCTCCCCTAACAAAAGGCCTGCCCCCTCCCAAACAAAAATCCTGGCTATGCCCATGGGCTCTGGTCTGAAATTCTGGACAGCTGCTGCTGGTCAGTGTAGACCAGGGGTAGTCAACCCTTTTATACCTACCGCCCACTAATGCACCAGTGATCCAGTGATCTTTATAGGAGGAGAACATAGTTTCCTATATTCCTGATATTCACTAGGTGAAGCTTTTCCGGTCAGTGCATTTTGAGGTTGGTGAAAACTGCACCTGTTGAATGGGCTGCCTGCCTCACAACTCTTAGCTGTGCAGTTAATGGGATGTAGGGAGTGGGGAGCGAGACAGAGAATGAGAGGTGTGTGTTGCACCCCTGGACGCAGTTTTACTGGCCTCTTCACTATATACCTGTAGATTGCTGGCATGCAGAATTTGTTAGCTTTGCTCCTTTGAGCTCATGTGTTTGAAAATGCTGTGGGCACGAGGCTGAGTTGGGGCCTGTGGCTTTACTCGTGCAAAAGGCATGGGAGATGTCATTCTGGGGAAATAACCTCTCACTTTTTCAGTTTGCCCATTGTACAGAATGGAAAGCACAAGAGCACAGTGGCTCGCTGCTTCGATCCTGGCAAGTGTGCTAGGTCTGTGCCTGCTCACTCATACAAAGCACGCTTCACCTATTTTTAGTGTTGCATTTCTTCCAAGGTGGAGGAAATTGTACTAGGCTGATGAAAGAAAGCAGTGGTTTATGCAATGCAAAGTCTAGAATTTGCTTCCACAGGAAATGGTAGTGATAGGCACTGAGTGGGATGGCTTTAAAAGGGTAAGGCTATTGGTGGCTACTAGCCACAATGACTTTGTTATGCCTCCACTGTTGAAGGTGGATGCCAAGTACAGGGAATCACAACTTGGGAGAGTGCATAGGCTCTTTTTATATTCTTAAAGGTGAATCCAGAACACCTTACAGCCTCCAGTTCAGCCACATCTATATTACGCTGCTCACCTCCCCGTTCCCCAGTCCTAATTTTGCTAATTTCATTACAGGTCAGTTTTGCGTGTTCTATTGTATTTGCATAGCACCAAGCATTAAAGAACACAGCACTCTTTTAGGGGGAATAAATGGATGCTAACAGCACTCAAAGTAACTAAGGTTGCAATCCTATACACCAGGCACTTAGCCCTCGAGATGCTGTGGGACTACAGCTTTCATCAGCCCAGCAAGCATGACCAATGGTCAGGAATACAGTGGTACCTTGGGTTAAGTACTTAATTCGTTCTGGAGGTCCGTTCTTAACCTGAAACAGTTCTTAACCTGAAGCACCACTTTAGCTAATGGGGCCTCCTGCTACCGCTACGCCGCCGGAGCACGATTTCTGTTCTCATCCTGAAGCAAAGTTCTTAACCCGAGATACTATTTCTGGGTTAGCGGAGTCTGTAACCTGAAGCGTCTGTAACCTGAAGCGTATGTAACCCGAGGTACCACTGTAATGAGAATTGCAGTCCAACAAAAACTGCAGAGCACAGTGTTGGCTACGCCTGCTGTACTTACTTGGGACTTCATTGTGGCCTACTTCAGAGTAGACACGTATAGGGTAGCAGCTACTTATTTTATCACTTTATGTGTATCTTACATTTGTGCCTCTACCTTTCTCCAAGAATGAAGGGCAGCTTTGGTTATATCTTTAAGTGCCCCTACTAAGAGTGGAAGAACAGTGAGCAAATCACACTAGGCTTTGTTGAAGGAGCACTTTGGTATCACTTAAAGTTTAAATCTTGAAGTGTTAGGCAGAGAGATGCTTCTTAGGAATAGGTGAAAGGTAGGTGATGGATATCTGCCTTTATAATGCATCGACTTGCTGTTGAGTGCCTCAGGTATTACTAAGACTTAACAAGGTCCAGCAGTTTCATAAGGGGTGGTTTAAATGAGAAGGTATTTGGTCATAGTAGATCTTAAACCAGAACTGGCTCATCTGTCGAGATCACTGAGAGACATAGCTCCCAGCATCTTGTAAGTATCTCTGAACTGCCTCTGTGGAGAAGTATCTGATCTGATCTGAGAGGGACATCAATGATCTAAAAGCTCTGTGGTGAGTCATCGGCGAAGGGAAGAACTGAGGTTCAGCAGTAGACCTAACGTTTGGCATGTGGAAGGTCCCAGGATACATCCCTGGCATGTCCTGGTAGGGCAGAGAGAGAGACCCCTGTCTGAAACCCTGGAGTTTTTGTCTGTAGCTGCCAGTGTAGCAGAGCAGAGCTCCTTACCCATCTTCCCAGTACAGAAATCACTGCTGGTAAGGGAGAGCAGGGGATGCGGGTGGCGCTGTGGGTTAAACCACAGAGCCTAGGACTTGCTAATCAGAAGGTCGGCGGTTTGAATCCCTGCGACAGGGTGAGCTCCCATTGCTCAGTCCCTGCTCCTGACAACCTAGCAGTTCGAAAGTACGTCAAAGTGCAAGTAGATAAATACCGTATTTTTCGCCCTATAGGGCGCACCGGCCCATAGGGCGCACTTATTTTTTTTTGGGGGGGGGGAATAAAGAAAAAAAATATTTTCCCCAGAGCCCCAAAGAGCAAAGAAGCCATGTCAGCGAGCGGGATGGATCCCGCTAGCTGTCCTGGCTTCGTTTTTAGCCTCGGGGCTGGGGGTCCGGGAGCGAAGGCGAGGTTGTGCTCAACCTCGCCATTGCTCCCGGAGCTTGTGGGGCTGGGGGCGGGGGAAGCCTGAGCTTCCCCTGACCCCAGCCCCCAGAACAGAACTCCCACCGGTCTCGCAAGGCTTGTGGATATCTGCGCGAAGCACGGGGCGCACTCCGGAGCGCGCCCCGTGCTTCGGGCTGCAGGCACTCCCGCCGGGCTCCCAAGGCTTGTGGATAGCTTCCTGAAGCCTGGAGAGCGAGAGGGGTCGGTGTGCACCGATGCCTCTCGCTCTCCAGGCTTCAGTGAAAGCCTGCATTCACCCCATAGGACGCACACACATTTCCCCTTCATTTTGGGAGGGGGAAAAGTGTGTCCTATAGGGCGAAAAATGCGGTAGGTACCACTCCGGCAGGAAGGTAAACGGCGTTTTCATGCACTGCTCTGGTTCGCCAGAAGCGGCTTAGTCATGCTGGCCACATGACCCAGAAGCTGTACGCCAGCTCCCTCGGCCAATAAAGCAAGATGAGCGCTGCAACCCCAGAGTCAGTCACGACTGGACCTAATGGTCAGGGGTCCCTTTACCTTTAAGGGAGAGCAGAGAGGTGGGGAGGTCAGTGCAGTGTGGACACAGGGAATTGCAGATTGACTCCACTGTTGCGCCTGCACCCCACTGACATCACCATTTCCTTTACTGGCAGCCGCAAATCTCCACATTGGGAAGCCAAGCAAGTGACTTTGCCCTGCTTCTCCTGGGTGCCCACTCCTGGCCTCTGATGGTCAGTGTTGACAGTATTGAGCAGGACAGACCAGGATACTATGGATAGTTGTGAATAGTCATCCTTAGTTTAAAAATGCCAAACTTGAAAATTATTATTATTTCCCCTATTTCTCTCTTTGTCCCACCCTAACCTTCAGGTCCTTAATTTGCTCTCATATTTGTCTGAAGTTTCACTTTCATGTGTCAGAAATCAATAGGCAACAGAACCCTGTGACAAAGTTCATTTTTAATTGGAAGAAAAATGGCTATTTATTTTAAAAGGCTGGCTGGGTTACGTGAGATACGTGCAGGCGGGAGACTTTAGTGGTTTGGCTCTATTCCTGAAGTCTTAATCTCAGAAACAATGAAAAATGCTGAATGAATTGAAAGCTGATAAGTTTAAAAAGAGACCCGCCCACACGTACTTAAGAGTTGCGTGTGAGCTGCGGGGCAGTGCCTCTTATTGGTATGGGGCAGCGCGGTGATGATATGTTGATGGAGCCACTCTACTGGTGCACCCATGCAAGCCCCGACATCACCACCTTTGCACCACTCCTGGAATTCTGTGTAATGTGGAAATTTGCTAACATCCATGGCAGGCCTGGTGAGGAGTACCCAGAGACTATGCAGGCTTCCAGACAGCAGTCCTAACACAGTCAAGTGTCGTTTACATTTTTCCAAAGGGGTAGCTGGCAACAAGCTTTTAAGAAATTTATATTTTTTTCCCTGGAAAAAGTAATAAATCCAGATTAAACGGGGGTGGAGTAGGGAAATACGGACTGACGTTTTGCGGACAATGGCATCCTATGAATGCTGGGGGGGACGGACCCCCAAAACAAATTACATGAGGATACCCATCGCACAGTGCAGAACTGGCCCTGTTGCAGCTGCCATATTATACTCCTTCTTTAGTGTAAACCCTGGAACTCCCTGCCCATTGACCTCAACCATGTGCGCCTTCACTGTATCTCCCTTTGGCACTTGCTAAAACCACTTTTGTTCAAGCAAGGCTATTCAGACATGTAGAAGCCGTCATGTGTTTTTAATTTAATTCTAGCTTAATGCGGTTTTGAATTATTTTTAGTTTTAAATGCTTGATTTTCATTGTTTCTCACTCTTAGTTTTATTATTTTATTACCATCAAGTAGTATATAAATGTTGTGAAATAAAACAACCTCCCCGTGACCTCACCCTGCTCTGCTTTGGTGACCCAGCTGCTGGGGTCTCCCCACACAATGAGCAGTGTCTGCTTCCAGGACTCAGGGAAATGAATTGGGGGCTCCTGCCAACCCCACCATCTGCCACCTGAGGCAGCTTCATCACTCCAAAAGCAGGACTGACCCTGGTGGTCTTAATGACAATGCATAGGACGTTCTCCCAGGTACAACAACTTTGTTGTTGGAGTAAGCAAATCAGTTAGTGCATAGTGTATTATTACCACCTCGTTGCCTGTTCAGCCTCACCCAGTGCATGTCAGCACAATAGCCAAAACAATTCATTGGCATGGTGGAAGGTTTGGATTTTTGGGCTCACTGTGTATTTCTTCTTGCACCCAGAGGCTTGTAAGTGTGCTGCTCTATGAATGCATGTGCTTGTTCCAGCTTGCTGAACAACTGCTCTGGTTTACAGTTGCTGCTGCTGTAATTCACCTTGTCTCTGGTATCAGTGGAACACCACATAAATAGCATTATTGCGCCCCTGGTCTCTTGACTGGTGACTGGGGGCGGCCACCAAGACCATATAAC